TTTCTCCAGTACAGCTGCTGTTACCAAAAGCATCCTATACCAACGCGCACAGAACTTAGTTTCATTTCTTTAGGAGAAATTTATCCCCTGGAAACAGCTAAGCAAGGTCATCACCTCTGTTACTTCAGAAAGGTTCTTTTCACAGGTAAAGGCTTCATTAGCTGCATTTACTCTTGCATTTAAAACATGCCCTGTCCTGTCTTTCAGTTACTATCACTTATGCCCTAATGCTCAAAAGATTTATGCTTAGTGAAGGAAACAGAAAAGCAGCTTTTAACCCCAACAGTTTATTCCTCCTCTTTCTTCATAATAAAAGACAAAGGTTGGCTAAAATTCCAAGTAGGAGCAACAAGTTTCAAAATGACTCTTCTCACACATACAACTGCCTTTCTCACAAGCAAAAAAACCCCCCAAAACCAAAAAACAAGTCCCACTCATGTTGTAGCAACTTCACTCTCACTAACTCCTTCAGGGATCCTACAGGATCAAATTCAAAGATTTTGAAGGCACTGACTCCATGAAGTGAACTAGAAAACTATCACCACTTTTAAGAGGCCATCTTGGAATCTGTCCAGGAATAAAATCCTTCATAGCATGTGGAGCACCTTGGTCACATAGAGAACAAGTTCAGCTACCCACTAGCCCAGTGAGCTATTGTGCAACAGCAGGATTCCTGAGACAGCTGGTGGGAGACTCATTTTCAAGCAGCCTGTCCTCTTCTACCCCATTCTTTAAACTTAGAATCAAAATTTGTACAAAAGTTTTCAGATTTTTTTCCTGTCCTCTGCCAGCAAGAGGGTGGTTGTTAAAAACACAGACCAAGAATGCTAACAGAAAACCAAGAGACATTGCCCAGTGTAGTCTGGTTTTTCATTTCATATCATCTGATTTAAGGTGAAGCGAGAGGGAGCATTCATTTAAGCAGCTGTAATGAAAAAGATTGATTGAAAAGCCATTTTTGCTCCATTTCTTATGGATAAGAGTCCCAGGTGTCTGTTTTCCTTATATTTTCTTTTTAATGGCCATTCCCTATTCAGCCCATAAGCTTCAAGGTCAGCTTCAGGTCAAATTACACTTAGCACAAGACGCTCAGCATCTGCAAACCCAGCTGTGGGATCCCTCTCCCTCCCCTCTTGCACTGGGTCTTCCATTCTGGGCTCCCAGCCTGGCAAACTATATTAAAGTAAAACGTTTTGGGTAGAAATTTTCATTTTTGCATTTAGATGACATGGTGGATGCCACACTGGCAAATGTGTTAAAAAGACGACAAACAACATCCTACTAATAGAACATATTAAGTCTATGAGGAAAGTCCATGTCTAAGTACATCTAGACATGCTTAAGCTTGCACTTACTGACTGCTGGCAAAAGCCAAAGCATACAGGACAAACTTATTGTTGGTAGTCACCCCATGTCTCCTACAACTTTCTGTGCTTCCATAAAATCTAGCAGCCAAAGGAAGGAAAATAAGACTGTAAGAATACTGGGGAAAAAACACTCCTATTGCCAGATCTTGGATAAAATCCAAGCCTTTGGAAAGCTGGCTTATCACCTGTGTTTAAAGGGTAGGGACTTGTACAGATTTTACACACGCATATTTGCGCACACTACATATAGGCATTATCTGACATCTGACCCTATCTGTAAGAGTTAATAATTTACTTGCCTTAACAATATGATGTGGAAGACAGAAAATAGCATACGTTTTCTTAACTAAAAATACTGGGGGGGGAGGAAAATGAGGAAAAATATCTAAGAAAGGAAAAGAATCTAAAACCACAACTTCAGAAAAATCCCTCAAAAATCTGAACAGCCCATGAGAGATGAGTTCAAGCTGTAAGAAGAATTCACACTCTTTTGTGTTGCACTATAAAAGCCCTCCAGGAGCAGCAGTGATTCCAGTTGGTTAGAAAACGGTCTATAAAAACAAAGTGAAAACAAGAGTCCGCTTCATCGTAAACCCTACTCCTACTTACTCATCCCAAACATGACACAAGCATCAATGCTCATAATGACGGTCACAGTCTGAGGAAGAGAGCATTGTCCTGCCTTTGGATGTAAAGGGTACTTACGCAAATATACTCTCTGGTGACTAACTCTCCATCTCTGTCCCTGAACTTCACAACAAGCAGTTAAGAATTATCAGGAAAACTTCCTAAAAAGGCTAACCTGAAGCATCATAATAACTCTTAAAACGCCAAAACAGAAACAAAAGGTTCTTAATCCATCTTTCTACGAAGAGGCCCTCTGGGGTTTTGTCTGCCTTTTAAGGAAGTGAGCTACAGCTCAGCAGCTGCACAATGTGTGAAATATTACAGCACTTGTTTTTAACTGCTGGATGAGGTGTCTAATGATTCTAGGGAGGTCTGGCTACTGCTGCAAGCACTCCACAGCTGTAAGGAGACAGAGGTGTGTATCCAAGCTTACGATACTTGTACATCTGTAGGAATACGCGGTATCTGTATCCAAAATTCAGTTTTCAGTGGATTCTTCATAATGGAATATGAAGAAGGATGACACAGAAACAATACAGCTCTGAATGGGGAGATGACCTTATGGTCTTTTCCCACAGGAATGCAACGATCCTTGCTTAGATTTAATCTGTGGGTAAAGTGAAGGACACAGGACCAAGTATATCACGATATGTCAAGGCTAGACAACTTGCTTCTCATCAGGGTATCTTGCCTAATCAAAAAATGGAAGATGTAATAGGGAGCTTCTGTCAGGCCCCAGGAAGCTAGTGTTTGGACTACACATAGCTATATATCCTTAGCAGAGAGCAGGCCAAAGACGGCAGGAAGAGACTTGGCTAGCTCAAAGACAGGTGGAAAGATGAGTAAGGAGTTAGTTATGAGCTTAGAGCTTTAAAGAGGAAGACAGAGCCTGAACTGAATGAAATGCAAGAAAAAAATTAGGACAAAAAAAGAAAACTTGTAACTCTCTTATCTATTCCCCTATGAGCTGATTCTCCAGGCCTTGGCAGTCACAATTCTGCTCTTCCATATATGAGATGCTGCTTGCACCTGGGGAATCTTTGGGATTAGCTTCCATATCTTAATACTTCAGGTGGTGAGCATAATCAAACATTCAAGAAAAAAATCTGTCTACCAAAAAAAAAAAATCCTGGTATGTTCCATATGCACTGGGTTGGCATTTGGATATTAAATCTGCAACACCTAACTCTGCCCAAATGCTTCCCAAGACTCCAGAAATAAAATTCCTCATTGTGTCCTCACTTGACTGCCAAAGGGATCCGTTTTATCCCTTCTTTTGACCCTCCCACACAAAAGTTTCCAAAGATGGAGCAAGAACCCAATTTCACATTTGGCAATGCTAGAAACAGCGCGGCAATGGCCTTGAAATGTTTGCCGTTTCTACTTGTCTTGACACTAATTATACACACAAGGCAGCTTCATCTGCACTGGGCAGAATGGCTCAATGCACAGCGGAGTTCAGTGCCTTCAGATCCTTGCATTTCCAAGCGAGTCAAGCATGCATTATAACTGCAGTCACAGCAAGTTTCTGATGTGCTTCTCCAAGACTGACCCTTCTCTTTTCTTATTTTCCCCTCCTCTCTTTTTGTTTTAATTTTTCCTACAAAACATGAAGTTTCTCTGAGACAATTAGAGCATGACTTCCATCCAGTTGTTTCATCAGGCTAAGTGTGCCACCCGCTTTTTCACATTCCCTTTTTTTTTCCTTTTGAATAAACTCTCCATTATCAAAATAAAATTACCGTCATTTACAAAGTACCACCTCAGCAGCATGCCTCAGCCCTCATTTCACAGGGCTATGCCAGCAGCCACAAACAGAATCAAAGCAGCCAATTAAAAATCCATATTCATTAACAAACATCATGTGTACTATAATGCTCTGCATTGACTATGCCACCACAGGAGATGGGAAACTCGCTGAGTCTTCCTGCTCTCAGTCTGAAGCACCATTTTATTAAAGGAACCTTTGCTACTCCACGGGCCGGCAGGGAGAGGCCCAGTGTCCTGTTAGCCCATCGGGCTAGGACAGCAGAAGTGACAGCTGTTGACCTTTTGCCTTAGAGAGATGCCAGACACAGGACCTTGCCAGGATGAGGAGCGCACAGAGAAGACCATGAAACTGTGCCAGACCTTTCCCACCGAGGTCTTTAGGTACCAACAGGGCCAGTCGCAAACCAATCTGCGGCATTACAAGCAGCCAACGTAATAAACTCTGCATATGCTTGATTGATGCAACTCATTGGCTAGGCAGGGCCAGATCCAAGCTGATGTAGTAAATTAGCATATTGCCTTGGCTTCAGGGAAATTACGTTGATTTACACCATCAACAATTCACCACCACAGAAAGCCACATACCGTAAGTACAATATTTCAGACCTATACAATGAAGTTATATGAACACATGCCAGGATTATTTATTTATTTGTACCCACAAGCCTGAGATTTACAACTCTTTATAAATACGAGCTGGGCAATTTGCTTTCTATTTTTAG